CGGTGTGAGGCGCAGATGACCCGCCCTGGTGGCGCCTCCGTGTGCCCCCACCAACTAAGTCAGCGCCAATATTCGCGTGATTAAAATACATATTTAGAAATGAATGAAAGAAACTTTTACCTGATTTCCGGCATCGGTATGAGCATACAGAGCTGAAAGAACCTTCATTGTGTCTATATTGTTCGGCATCACTTTCAAAACGGTTTCGAAGGCCGTTATTGCCTGAAATCAATATCGTTATACCGTTCTTTCTTTGCAAACGATTCTTAATCAGGTTACAATACATTCGATGAGAAGAACAAGTACACGAATAACAAACCTGGTTGAATTCGCCTCGCATTATATACAAGTTGACCAAGACCATACTGGGGCAGTACAAAGGTAGGGTGATTTAATGTGGTTGCTTGATAGTAATACTAAAAGAAAGACTTCTGGAATGTTTAACAGAAAAATAATTTCGATGAAGTAACCAAAAACATTTTGTTAATAAAATTACGAATTAAAAACAACCTTGAACGCTTTTTCATAATCCCGGTTAAAGTGGAAATAACGTGCAAGGATATAGCACGCTTCGGCCTTGATTTCGTCACTCTCGGTCATGTTCATCGCATGCCAGGCCAAGCGCTCCACTTTGTTCATTTCCTGAAAAAAGATGAGAGGTGAGAATTGTTAGGAATAAATTCGCTAGTGGAACAGGAAGCCCTCTAGTACGTGGGCTACCCTAATTAAATACTGGTAAGTACCAGCGAATTTTCCCAGAAAAAGTATACAGATAACAAATTTGCGACCATTTCGATCTCGTCTTTTGTGAACGTTTATTTTCATTTCAAAATCCAAAGTGGTGTACTAAAAAAGAGCGCTAACTGCTAAATCGACGGTTGTGCATTCTGTCCCAAACTGGGGGCGCAGTTCGGCTTAGTGGGGGCATTTTGCTAAATCCAATTAATGGTTGACGATGTCTTCTGTTAAGGCCTGTAAACTCTTGCAAGGCTAGCGGAAGCTCCGTTTATACTTCACCCGCGTATACAGTTCGCACCAACTGAGAAGTGTGAAATGACGAGAGTTCGCAAAAGAAACTAACTGGAGTGCAAAACGCCCCTTTTGAGCCGAACAACCCCCGACTTGGTTCCACCCAGGCTAAGCAAGCCTTGCATCCTTCCTAGTTTTGTTGTGAGAATGTGCCGAAGAAATTACATTCAGAATGCTATCACGTTTTTGAATGTCCGGAAAGGGATTAACGCCATAAGTTTCATCCGCCGCTATCTGACTTGCACGGGGAACTTACCAGTTTCGCTAGTTCATTCTGTTATAAATGTCTTATCTCACTTTGATAAGAGCTGTGAACTCCTGTGAAGCTTTTAAATGGTGCGAGCGAGCCAGTTTGGTCACAGGAACTTACGGGTTCCCTAGAAGTGCCCTGTACAAGCTTAGCTAGGTATCACTCAATGCCCCCACCCAGCAAAGCTGCGCCATTTTATCCTCTTATTTCGCTCTCTATAATGATATTTTCTTTGAACGTTCTCAAGAAATAAAGCATTCCCAAACTATTCTGAGAACACATGTTAATTAGAGAAAGCAAAAATAAACGAAACTTACTCCTTTGAAGAAAAAGTGATTCGCGAGATGA